TTACTCGCCTGAAAACCTGACTTTGCTGCGGCGAACTCCAATCTTCGTCACGGCGAAAGCTTCCAGAGAGGAAACTCTCGCTCGCCCAAAAAACCTTCACCGTGACGAAACCTTCCCGAAAGGACACTCCCCCTGGAACTCCCGGTTTGCCGCGGCGAAGGAACATACCCTGAGAGGGGTCTGTTCACCTATTCCTCCAACATACCTCAATTCCAACCCGAACACCAAGATCAACATTAAATCACTAATCTATCCTCAAAATCAACCAAAAGAGGTTATTAAAACCTGATAAAACTCAGATGTTACACAGTCATTAGATTTTTTTAGATCAATAAAAATTATATGCAAGTCTCTTTTGTGACTCTAGTAATTTTCCATTAACCACTCAGTAAATATATTACTTCTATTGTTGACCTTCCTAGCATGAACCTAAATCAATTTTTAGAAATATAAGGCTCCAATCTCAACCTTTGTTCCCCCACCTTCTCTCATAATTTTATGGTATGGCTTATGAGCTTAATTTCTTTGTAGCTTGAACAATTCTATATATTCCTTTTACTCTTTTGAATAGGTACTATTATCAAGCATTTTCTCAGAGCATATCATCTCATTGAATAACTTAAAAAGCCACAAATACCCCCTTCACCCATACATTTCCACACTTCAATAGGAATACCATCACATCCCATGACTTTATTGTTTTCCATTTTCTTAAGAGCTTTCTTAATATCATAACAAAGGAAGGATTACCCAATACTTGGAAGTTTTTTGTGGCTCTTATATGTCTTGGAGATTTATTTTCATAGCAAATATACCCTGGCCAGCATCTACTGTTAAGTCTAACGAATAACTTATGTGGTTTGACCCATGTCTTTAATACTCAAACTTAATGGTGGATGATGGTTCACAATAGAAACACTATGGAATAAAACTTTCTGAGTATATTAGAGCCAAAAAAAATTCTAGGTGCTATACGCTCCTTCGTGAATACTTTCAAGATATTTAAGGATCTTAACCTTTTATAAAATATTTTTTAAACAAGTTTGGAGGAATAAAAACAAAAAAAAATATTTGGATAATTATTTTAAAAGATCACATTTGAAGACAAAACATGGAATTGTTATCCACATGTAGAAAAACAAAATTACAAAATATTGTAGTTAAGCAAATAACTAATTTTTAAATGAAACACTACAAGTCATAATTTAATTACAGTTAAATCTCATCAAATGTTATCCACATATCACATGGTTAGGTAAAAGAACACAAGATAAAAGTACACAAAAGTATTCATAAAGTTATCAATCTAGAACTAGATATAAATTAACAAAAAATTATCCAGTTTGACTACTACCAAAAAAAAAGACCATTATCAACAAAATTAGTGATAGAATTTAATTCCGTCACAAATCTAATCACTAAAATTAGCAACGGATCTATTTTGTTCCTAGTTTTCATTGCAAGATGAAAATCAGAGGTGGCGGCAACTGGCAACAACAAGCGGCAAGAGGCAAGCAGTGGGTATGTATAGAAAAAAGGATTTTCCGAAAAGAAAAAATAATAAATGCAAAACCAGAAACAAGAAAACATCTAAAAATCGGTGTGGTTTTTTAATTTTTAAAAACATATTACTATTTTTTTCGAAAGAACTCACAAAAAACAAAATACCAAATATTTTTTTTGTTTCTTATTTTTTAAAAACAAAGAATTAAACAAATCCTTAATAATTATCCAAACTAAATGTTAGTGTAAGTGATATGGAGGCTCGCTTTCTATAAGTAAATAGTGGTGGTTTGATTCTCAAATTTTATGCATGAAATAAATTTAATTATACAAGGCATTTCCTTTCTCCACAATTTCCAATATACCACAAGGAAGATTCTAGATGTGGAATACTCTACACCTGCATAAAAAAAAAAAAACTTGCTACCAAAAAAGTTGACTTTTAGCAACAGCAAAGGATTACAATGGCAAAAAAAAAAAAAAGCCACGAAACGAGTCATAAGTAAAAATATAGTTGATATACATCTATAATGTGATAAGTGAATTTGTTCACAAGCATATGATCAAGGAATGACTTGGACAATTACATCAATAGCTCCAGAGTTCTTATCACTAATTTTCCTTGAAAGAAAAACTAAAAATGATCTTAACTTGTTGAATGAGAATAGGAATCATCAAAACGTCACTTACTTATCTCTATTATTTGTTCCTTGTCTACTACGGTAATAATAAACACACATATTTTGTTCAACTTCTCCATGAGTGACATTTAATAATACTGATGATCATGAACTCGTTGATCAAACCCATATAATAAATAATTCATGATGTGTGCAAAAGGTCAACACACAACTGGTTACACACATATTGTATATAAATATGGTAATTGAATATTGGTTAATAATTTTTTTTTTTTAACAAGAAGATTCCCTATAATGGACCCTGCAAAAGAGAGAGATAGGTCATATATATGTAAAGTTGTCATGTTGTGTGCAAGTAGCAGTCAAGAATAAGTGGCCAGCCATATATATTCTCAAGGGTCATCTGGAATGACCCCTCCTTTAATAATTGTATGTAATTCACTATTCCACAGAGAGAGAGAGAGTTGACAGTTTATTAATACTACACGTGGTGCTTAATCTAAGAGCTAGATAACTAATTTTAAAATATTAAAAAAATTAATTAAATTAATTATTTATCACAAAATGTGTTGGTATCCCTAATTATTCTATTTAATCATGTGCAATTAAATACTCCTTGATGAAACCTCTTACAATTAATAGAGTATTTTGGGCAAAATAGAAGACAAAATGGATTAAAATCTCATATTTAGGACCAAATTCAACCCCCAACTAACTCTTATATTAAATACCAAAATATATAATTTGCTCTTTAAAATACAGGGTTTTACAACAAATATAAATATAATCAGCTCTATAATGCAGAATATTGATAAGAATTCAGAACATCTTACTAATTTTAGATTAGACAATACTACACAACATTTGATTTGAAGTACGAATGACTTTTTTACAAGAAAAATAATTTAAACAACATTGTAGTAAACTAGTAATTTTTTTAATTAGAATAATCACATTCTTAAACTTTAAATAAAATTAACTTGACGAGGGTAGATTTGGTATGTTTGTGTTGGGGGGGCTTTTGAACCGTTCAGCATTTACGATTAAATTATTTTATTTTTTGTTTTTAACAAAAAATCATCATCTTTAAAAGTAAGTTGAAAAGTAAATCTATCTCCTGCATTGTATTTCTTTTAAAATGGAAAATATGAAAAGTAAACCCAAAGAAAACAAATCGACTCAAATTATTACATTTTGGACGAGCAGGCAAAATGTGGCAATGTACAGAAGATCCTTTGAAATAATTAAAATTTGTTATATTATTTGGTCTAATTTCTTTAGATGTGATTTTTCCTTTCTATATATACATATATATATAGAATTAATTATTTAAGATAAGTAATAAATGTATATATGAAATCCAACAAAAGGAATATATATGACAGCAGCTTTGACAATTGCTCAGTCTCTTGCATATATCGGTGAGCGGGGACATTCGTCCTTAAGCAATCATCTCTGATTTCTTAAAATTTTCCTTTCAGTTTCAAAATTCAAATGGTTTGGCATCTGTCTTTTTTCAATTTAACATTTCGTATTTAAATGAACAAACTTATTTTTGTTAGAGGAACTTTACATAAACGTCTAGTCTATCATATATTATGAGAAAAATTAATTTGTAAGTTAGGATAGTTTTGTTTTACCTCATTTTTAATAAAGTCTTTACAATTTTTTATCAGATTTTTTTATAGTTTTACCCGATTTTCCATCGAGTCTCTATTGTTTTTTTTTTTTAATCAAATCATTATAGCTTTATCTTATTTTTAGTTAGGTCATTGCAGTTTCAAGTGACTAACAAAAATAAAAAATTACATGAAACCTCATAAAAAAATCAAGTGAAACTATAAGGACCTAATAAGAAAACATCTTCAAAGACCTAATAAACAATTTAGTGAAAGTATCATAAAAAAATAAAAATAAAACTATGGGACCTGATTAAAAATCAAATAAAACTAAATAATTTAGGCAAATTAATTTTTCTTATATTATAATAAAGGTTAAAATATCTTTATTTCATTCGTTGGCCAAAAAAAAAATCATTATTTTCCTAAAATTTGACTTCATTTTAGTTTCGGTCTTTGTAATTTAAAACTTATGCTTTCAATTCCTGATATTTGATTTTATTTCTGTCCACCTAAAGATTTTTTGCCTTTGAAAAAGTATTTTTGGTTATTGAAATAGGGTTTCGGAGATAAAACCATTTCTTCTAAATTTCAAGGAACAAAATCAAACTGAGGTTAAATTTTAAAAACTAAAAATAGTAGTAGCACTTTATAATAATCATCTTGGAGCCGCATAATATAAACACACATTAGGGATGTATTTTCTTTTACTCTTCCGGATCAACAATCCCATACATATAATGAACGAACACTTCCAACAGGGAAAAGATCAAGGTACAAACAGGCTGGTTCTTTGAGAGTCTTGCTAAAAAGAGTTCCACCCACTAATGAACATATAAGAAACTAGCAGGACTTATAATTACATGTGACTTTGAATTTTTTTATTATATATCTATCCTGCCATATGGGGACCTCTCTCTCTCTTTCTCATCTCATTTTTACGCTTTTGCACATTAATTTATCTCACTCTAAAAGCAAAAAAAAAAAAATGTACTCCCACTACTGCATAGCTCTGCTTTTCTGGCCCATGTGATGGCTGTTTTTTCGCGTTATTAATCTCAGAACCTGAACTCCAATGATCACCTTTTATGGTGGCCCATATGTGTATGTGTGTGTGATCAGAAAGAAAAGTCGATCAGATAGGTATAATGAACCATATTGATCGATCTGATCAAGCTGCTATGACCTGCAAGCCCCAGCAGAGAGAAATAGATGGCCATGCTTTGCTTTTTCATAATTAAAAGAATTGAATCTTCTTCTCACTCCTTCGCCTATATATGGCTTTAATCACTACCATAACAGTGTTTAATGACACATTTGATGACACATATATACCATTTCAGAAATATATATAAAACTGAAAAAAATTTATCTGTAGTAGTAGTACTTCCATTTCAGAAATATATATGTATATATAACTTCCTTATCTTTTCTCATTCAACGGTGTCCACTGAAGCAAGTTTATTTTTAGAGTTAATATTCTCATAGCCACCGTTGTCATCACCGCCACTAGCGCCGCAGCCGCCGCCAGGGCGTCCTCCTCCTGCTGCTATTTCTTCATCTTCTAAGTCAATACTTCCTCCATCTTCTTCTTCAACCCCTCCTTCATCTTCGTAGTTGTCGTCGTCTTCTTCTTCACATTCTTGATAACCTCTTGCGGCTTCTTCTTCTTGAGTGGGAGGCCTCCATTGCTGCTCTGGCTGGACCATTAATGGCGCTATATTGTGACCAAATGGATCACCGAAGAGGTGGTTGTGGTTGTTGTTCTGGGTTTTGGTCTTTTCTTTGTATATAGCCTCGAGCTCATTGAAGTAAGGACAAGTTTTGCTATCCTCACGCCTTTGTTTGTTACTTTCTTTGATCTTCTTGAAGTACTTGTTGATGTTCTCCCACTTCTCCTTGCACCTCTTGGCATTCCTATTGTACCCCATCTTCCGCATTTCACTGGATATTTCCTCCCACAAAGGAGCTTTCGGGCCGTTTTCCTGGTACTTAGCCTCCAGCCTTGTCCTCAGCCTTATCAACGCATGTACCTCCGCCTTCGGCCACCGTGAAGGAGCCCCAACCCCGCCGCCGCCACTGCCGTTGATATTGTGATTGTTATTATCCATTTTCTGGATTTCAAACTTTTCATAGCTGATGTTATTATTTGGTGGCATCACAACCAACAGTGCCTGCTGGTTTTGCTGCTGTTGTGGTTGTGGTTGAAACTGTGACACCACCGACACCCGCGGTGTCGACGGAGGAGGCTGCTGTGATCCTCCGGACAACTTCTGTAAGAATGCAATGATGGCGGCGTCCTTGGCGGCGGCGGTGGATCTTTCTTGAACGAGGATTTCATGTTCACGGTTGATCCGAGCCATTTCTTGCATCCTCCAAGCTTCTTGCTGAGCCACACGCTCACGTTCTCGTTTATCAATGGCGTCCAAGAACCTCTTCTGCATTTCGTCCTGTCTAGCCAGTACTCGCCTTGTGAGCCGCCTGAAGTAGTCCTTCCACTTCCTCTTCTTCCGGTACCTATCCTGAAGGTCCTCGTCGGAGGCCGTGGACGACGAGGTCGACGTCGAAAGGTTCGCATTCGGCACCACCACTGCCGCCGCCGGAGGAGGATTATTCGAGGAAGGAAGAGTTGTATTAATAGCAGTAGTTGTCCCACCAGTGACGTAAGAGAAGGTAGTTGATGAATGATCACTGGGCCTTGTTGAGAGAAATGGCAATGAGGTAGGAAGTGCATTTGGAGGGAAATTATTAGAAGAAGGTTGTGATAGAGATTTTGGAGGAGGATGAGATTGAGATTGAGGGTTATGAGAAAGAGTGAATCGAGATTCAAAAGCTTCTAATTGATCAAAAAACCTATAGGTTTTGGTCTTTCCTTCTGGTTTAGCACTTCTGCTATCTTTGGTTCTCTTGTGATACTTGTACACGTTCTCGAATTTCTCCTTGCATTTCTTTGCACTTCTCTGATAACCAAGCTCCCCTAGCTTCCTGGTTTTTCATTTCAAGTCCAAGAATATAATAAAGTATCATTAAACTTTTCGAAATAAAAAGCAATAATTAATGCATGTCACTTAACTGAAAGGATCAATCATCAATAAGGGAATAAAAAGAAATGAAGAAGAAGAAGAAATCCGAGAGCTTCAGAAGCAGATGACTAAATGTCTGATAAATTTCTTAGAAAAATCAAAGACCAAATAAGGATGTTTCAGAGTTTACTGGAACTTGGAAATTCTAAAATTCAATTGCATATTTTGCAGATACGCCAAAACGTTCGATTGATTCGAAAAAGTTTTGATGAAGAATATATAAAAAAGAAGTAGCCGGAAATGGCTAAAAACAAGTAATAGTGAAAGGGAAATTGCAAGTTCCCAAAATTGATTTGGTTTCTGTGAATTGAAAGCGATAATAATTCACTGATCTCCATGCACGATCTCGAAGAAGCTAGCTTCCCCAACATCATAGATAAAACCCAGAAGTGAGATTTAGTTAGTAAATTCAATATGTGTGTGTATGTGTGTACCTTGAAACTTCTTCCCAGAGTGGACCTTTAAGACTTGAATCTCGAAACACAGAATCCATATCAGACCTTATCTTCAACAGAGCCAAAGTCTCTTGGCGGGGCCACCGGTTCCCTCCACTGTTCATCTTATTGTCGCCTTCACCTGATGAAGTTGCTGTGATTATGATCACGCCACCCCCGTCTGGCGCCTCGGTGGCGGCTTCCTGTGGTGGCCGTGGCGGCGGAGCAGGCGGTGCTTCGGCCGCCGTAGCAACCATCTCTGAGACGACTACTGTAGTAGGGTCTCCAAGCTGCATCATATAATAGCTATAGACAAGAAGAAGAAGAGAGCTGCTTTTCTCCTTCTTGCTTCTTCCTTCTTCGCTAAAAGCAAATTACAGCAAAGAAAAGAATATCAGAAAACAAGGTGAATACCATTGAAAGGGTTTTTATTATGCGCATGGGGATGCTTTAATTAATTAATCGAAGGGGGTGAATTATTAAATTAATTATTTTATTTTAGGTGGGATTTCTCTGTCGATTTCATCAGTATAGAAAATTAACAATAATAATAAGGAGAAGAAGAAGCAGAATAATGAAATTAGAACATTGTAAAGTTCGTGCTGAACTAATGAGGGCAACTTTCTTTTTCTTTTTCTTTTTCTTTGTGAATAATAGTTTTCGTTGTTGTTTTTTTTTTTTTTAATTAGGGCATGGAATCTGGGAGTTTTTTTTTTTTTTTGGTTGGAATGAAAAGGAAAGACAAGCAAGACTCGATCACTTTGGTTTGGTTCTTGTGTGTGTCATAAAGTGCTGAAAAAAGGGAGAAGAAAAATTAAAACGAAAAGCAATTAATTAAGGGAATTATTACAATACCGTCCACTAATTAATAATAGGAGAAAATAATAGAAGTACAGATATCCTTAGTTTTATATTGGTTTAGATATCTAATTTTTGGTATAAATATTTAATTTTTTTAAAAAATATTGTTTAAAATTAAAGTAATAATATGAAATTGATGGAGTTTTAGTGGGAAAAGCCTGCAGATAGCGACGATGGAGGTAATAACTAATGAGCTGGCCCATTGTAGGTCACCTTTGCTATTTGTGATTTTGGACTTCAGTGTGCCTGTTTGGTGCTTGAAATTACAAAATTACCCATGAGACCAAAGTTGGTTACTTGTAATTCTTTTAAAATTATAAATTATTATCTTAAACCAAAACAGTAAAAACCATTCACATTTCTATCATAATATGGCTTGCATTCCAATATCATGATTTCATTTTATAACATATAAGAGATCTGTCCACGATTTCGATTATGTATGATACAATATGTAGGTTTTGTCAGCTTTTTTCTTAAGAAAATAATCCCTGTCCAGTTAATTATAATTATTATACTTTTTATACTGAAAGTGATTGAAAAATAAAATTACTAAAAGGGAAAACTTAAATAGATTACAATTGGATATGTAATACGAAAATTAGTTAGATGGCGAGGGAAAGTTTGCACAGGAAAAGTTCATTTATGGATGGATATTGGATAGGAGTAGTACTAGTGATGAATACAGTTTGGTTGAACCTAACATAATAAATATTAAAGAAAAATAGAATAAATTTTTTGATTCCCAAAATTAGTTAATTAATTTAATTAATCTTCTAACGCTCTATATATAATTCGGTAATAATCATTTTGAAACATGTCATGGACCATATTGTAATTAGGTGATTTCGACAACGAATTAATGGTAATAATTTCAGGTTGTACTAATATATGTATGTTTATAGTTAGAGCTTCTTTTACCTAATTTTTTATCCTCGACCTTTATTGAATTCATCGAATCTATATACATACTCCTCCGGTGCTTAATATAGGACCCAATTCTTAAGTTGGTTTTGGTCCTAAATATCAGACTCATTTCTCATATTTATCAATTTTCTCTAAATTACCCCTATGGATACTCCCTCAACCATAGTCAAGTAGAAGAGGGAGAGAGAGTATTCAGAAAGATGATTATGGTGTTTTAAGAAAAATGTGTTACTTTTTTTATAATTGACTAACTTACCTAACTTCCTTAATCTAATCAAACTAGTTAAATGAGTATTGTATTAAGGACCGGAGGAGTATATATACAAGAGTATATATTTAATCCTTTAAATTTATGCAATATTTATTTTTATCATTTAATGTTATAAAATGTCTTTTTAGTCTTTTTCTCATAACACTGTTAACAAAAAATGTTAAAATTAAAATTTCGAATATTGACAAAATATTTCTAAATATTGATATATTAACTTTAATTTTCAAAATGACAATAATTGTTGTAAAAGTATTTTTATTTAAGATTAACAATGTTAAGATTAGAGGGTGGAAAAAAATACTTTTTTTCAAATTAAGTGACCAAACTAAAATTTTACATAAAATTAGAGGATTACATGTGGATTTTTTTCTATATGCATGTATTTATAAACACGATAGAGGGTAAAGTGATAAAGAGGGCATTTTATGAATTACCTGTTTTATTTTTTGAATTGAATAGCTCCATTAACTCGCAATGACCCCACAACGTGCTTCAACGTGGTGGACTTTATGAGCAATTTCTATATCATATAGCTTTATAACGTGGGGAATTTTGAACCTGTACCAAAAAGATAGTTATGTATAATTTTTCATATAATTTAAACTATAAAGTAATTAAAGACAAATAATGCCCATAAAAAAATATTGATTCTCATAATAATTTTAATTTTCAAAAAGGATATTAACAACATAATTATTTTATTCATTCTAAATCAAAATCAAAATGTGCTAATTAAGCCTTACTACTCAAATCTAACTTGCTAATATCATATATTAAATAATTTTATAAAAATAATATCAACTAACAAATTCAAAAACATATCAAGTACGTGGTTGTTGATGACGTGGTTTTATGAGTAAATTAGTGATTTTTCAATTTCATTTTTTATTCAAATGTTTCTATGTAGTTATAGTACGTAGAGTAGGATATGGTCGGGATAGATTAGAGTTATTAAATGAAAATTTTATTTAAAAAATATAACCATTTATTATTACCAAAGAAAGATAGATGTTTTTAAACAATGCTTATTATTCTTAGTTTATAAATAGTGTTGGTAGTAATGGTGATTTTCATATATGTCTTTTACCCTTAGTTTTGATGGGAAAAAATAGAGATTAAAATATGTTAGGAGAGAAGCTCCATAAAAAATAAACTTTTTTTATTATTTTTGAAAAAGTCCCAAAACTCATGAGGATCAAGGCATGTCTTCTAACTCAAAAAAACACTTAAAAAGATACTTACAGATTGCCTATTAACAAAATCTTCAAATCAATAATAAGATTTGAAATCATGACCTTATGGTTACAACCTAACTTCTTAGCAATTAGATCAACTTTTTTTACCCAAAACAAAAAATTTTAATTATTAATTATTGTGACTAAGAATTTTTCTCACTACAATATAAAAATTTAAAAAAGGAAATAAAGAAAGAGAAAGAAGAAACACAATGGTGGTCCACTAGGGTGATACAGCTCATGGATGAATCTCAATAATGTGAGGGCGTGATTATGTATGTATTCATTTTTGCCTAGCTATAAAGACTGTTATATATTCCTCTTTCCAGTCCGCCTTATCTCTTTTATTAACATAACTAACAACAACACATAATAATATAATACCATTTCTAATTTCTAATTTTTAATAAATACCAATCAACGAATTCTAACCCTATCTTCATTAAATATCTCTCTCTCTCTCTCTCTCTCTCTCATGTTTGTCTGTGTGTCTGTGTTTGTGTGCCAACCAGCTGGCCTGTTACTTGGTACAACTCAAGGTGTCTGATAAAAATGTGGGCATATGTATCTGTAACTACCACAACTAATCCTAACAATTAAATAAATTATTATGCATAAGCATGTTAATTATAGATGGATTCCACTACTTTTAATCAGCTTTACTTGATTTAGTAAGAATAAATTAAATATAACTGTGTGGTATTTGATTAGTGCTGCAAAGTATAAATTACATGAATTTTTTGATGTATAAGAGTTTTGTCATCATGACACATAAGTAATTACTGATGAAACTCCCCATAAACAAAACAAATTACATATACCTTCATTTAGTTTTGCTAAATTATACCGACCTCCTCTCAACTTTTTAAAAATATGTGTAGATGTAATCTACCTTATAACTTTCGGGAAGGTCTGCGCATATTTTGAAAATAGAAGAAAATCCCTGCTATTTCAATCAAACTTGGTACTCCTCCAGTCTTTAATATAAGATATAATTGTTGAGTTGATTTTAATCCTAAATATAATATCTATTTCTCATATTTATCAGTTTTTCCTAAACTACCCCTATGGATATTCCCTTAACTATAATCAGGTAAAAAAGGGAGAGAGGATATTAAAAAAGATGATCATGGTATTTTAGGAAAAATATGTCATATTTCTTATAATTAACTAACTTACCTAACTTCCTTAATTTAATTAAATTAGTTAAATAGGTGATTATGGTATTTTAGGAAAAATATGTCATATTTTTTTATAATTAACTAACTTACCTAACTTCCTTAATCTAATCAAATTAGTTAAATAGGTCTTATATTAAAGACCGGAGGAGTATAACATTTGAAAATAAAATAAAGGAAAGATCCCAACAATTTGTATAAAAGATATTTATTAGTTTTTAAAATGAAATCTAAGTCAGTGATGATTATTTGGACGAAGTTAATAAGAATTATGAGAAATTACTCATATAATGGCCAACTAATGATTAGGAGATGAAAATAGAATCTCAAATATATAAGAAAAATTTGTGAACATACATTTTAATTTCAAAATAAATTTATATTTTTTTTCAAAATAGAGAAAAAATTTCTATAATTTAGATAAAATAGAGAGCTCATTAGTGTAGTTTACCCTAGAATTTGAATACATGTAATAATGTGTACTGTGTTATTCTACCTCCCTTGCAAAGTTAAAAGTTATCATTCCTTTCATTTGAAGAATTAATCATTTGTACACATGTATTAAATATATTATATGCACTACACACGAATGTCAACACAATTCATATAGTCATAGATATAATATAATTTCTAACCTTAGGGTTCCATATACTTAACATACTATCAGTCTTTAATATAAGATCTCATTGAAAATTCAATTGGATCTTAAATACAAGACCTCAATCCACTCTATCTCTCATATTTATCTAGTTTTTCTCAAAGTAGTCCATGATGATTGCATATATATTCAATGTTCCATGAAAGGATGATTCTAATACACATGATTAGCAAAGGTATTTTAGAAAAGACAATACATATATATTACAAATAACTAACTTAAATAATTTTCTTAATATTCAC